GGTCTACAAACGTCGCCTAAAGTAATTGATTTTACCCGGCAGAGCGAAAGAAGGAAACTCCGCTTTTCAGTAGTCTTAGGCGCCTGTTTTTTGACAAACAATGACCTTTCAGAGGTCAAGTTGCTGTCAAGAATATGAAATGGCTGCTTCGCAGCAAAAAGCTACCATGGGAATATGCAAGTGTTAGTTGAAAGCCTTTTAGCATAACCTAATTCTGCTTTGTCCAACAGTGTTTGATTTTCAAGTCTGTACTTCACAATATTCACATTAATAATAGACTCTAAAATTGAATAAAATAAGCCATTGAAACCCCTAAATGCTGTAATCGGACCACCATCTGGGACATAGGACTTCTTGTCGGGCAAATCCTAGCACCACCCCTAACACGACCACATAGGTTTATATTTTTTCACGATAATGCCTGACTTGTCCCGACAAGAAGGAGTAAGGTTGTTGCATGATGTTGGTTAGGGAGGAGGGTGTTTTTCAGGGACTGGTATTCCCAGGCAGGTTAAGGTGCTGTGTCTAACTGGTGACACCACTGACAGAAATTGGTATGTATAAAGTGAAATTATTATAAACTACCCTTAAAAGGGTTTAAACGCTAAAACAGAAAATTGACAACACTGATACCACAAACATTGTTTTTTTTTATCACAACATTACTTAAGGTATAGAAAAACATTTATTATTGTTCTAATCAAAGGAATCTATAAATAAATCAGCGGAAAAAAACTGGTAAATTTCTGGCAACACTGCTCATACGTATTACGATTACCCACATTTTTAAAACTGGAATTCTCTAAGGGAGCATTAGAACTGATAATTTGAAGAAAATCAGTTCTAAAAAACACCACTTTGAGGTTTATGAGCAATTGAAGTTTAGAAGTTTTTCATAATTTGAAAAAAAAGAAAAATACCCCTTTTTAAAAACATGGTATTTCCCAAGTACGAAATAAAAAAAAATATGCAGCAGATACCCAATGTATTGACCTTATACACACACTCATTATTTTTGATGAATAACCAGAAGGATATTAGAAATATTGTATCAAATTATTACTAATATTAACTTTTAAAAACAGCAAAAAAATGACAAAAATTGCCAAAAATACAAATTTACCCGTTGCCATGGAAATATACGCACAAAGTGAATAAAACTTCATATTTGATTTCTCTTAACAAAGGTAATAGCCATGTGTAAAATTTGAAAGAAATCCATTTTTTTAGTCCGCCACTATTTTTGAAATTTCTTTGATTTTTACAGACAACTGCTCTTAATTGCTTTGTAAACATTTTATTTTTGTAATTTGAGTAAATGGTAAAATATATTTATAACAGCTAAAATTAGTTAAATGATTTAAATATTTTTATATGGGAATTTTGATAAATTGTGTATATTAATTGCTGTAATAATGTGTAATTAATGAAATATTTTTTGATACTTTAAATTTGTATTTTTTCGACAGCAAATAATAACAGCTCAACTTTTAATAGCAATTGTTTAGTTCTTTTGAAATTTTAATATAGAAATCAATTTTAATGCCTCTTTAATGTATTTATGTTTTAAAATTGTAATGAAATCAAATTCAGCCATTCGCTGTCGACTGTAAACTTATATACTGAAATAAATAAACTTTATTCAAATAATAATACAACAAAAATTAATAAAGTATAACAAAAAATTTTTAAATAGTTCTATAAGATAGTGGTTGAGCCTACCAGAATTTCCACCTGTTATCAGAACGGTCTTCCCAAAGAACTCGCGCCCGGTGGGTATACTATAGTAAGACGAATCGTCAACGAGCTTCGAGTACCGAAGAAGCTTCGGTTCCATGACGAGTAGGGTATTTGAAGTCCACAACGCGCGCTGGTGACTCTGATAATTATATAGGTAAGCAACTTGTAATAAATAACCGTCCAAAAATGGTCCAGTGATTTTGTTTGAAAACTTTAAGGTGTATTGTTGCGTTAAATAGGTCATTATCCATGCTATTTGAAATGCATTCATCCGGCCGGTGGACCGTGGGGGGGGGGGGGGGGGGTGAACATATATAATGTCTATGGAGAATTTGTATGATTGGAAAAAATTCCACTCCCTTCGTAGAAAAAAATAAAAAAAAGAAGAAAGGAAAAATAAAAAAGAATTCTAGACCTACCTTTTCAGGACTCGTTAGCTGATTATTAATATATTTTTTTTTTTTACAATAAGGAAATATTAGAAGTCTTGAAACCTCATTTCCCGCCATCTAGGAATCATTTTTTTTTTTCGGGGGAGGACCAACGACTACTTTCTATTTTTGGGGTTCATCGATTTATGGAAAAAAGAATATGTATGCAACGTATGTAATACCAGTACACATATAGGCCCTAATAGGACTATTTACTGTAATAAGAATGAGAAAAATTTACCTGACCGTTTTCAGGGGGGAAAACTCTTGAATTTTGTCATAAGACACTTCAGAACTCGGGAAAGCTCAAATTCATTAAAAGACACCTAGCTCAAGAGTCGGGAAAGCTCCGCATTTCCCGCCATCGAGGAATCAACATTTTCCAGTGAGCCGGTGGTGGCGTGCTCACGCTGATCGACTTCCAACATCATCACAGGTATTAGTGAGAAACCTAGTGTCCAAAAAAACAGGTTTGCGAGATAGGCTTGACCAAAGCAATTTTATTGCATTTTCTGGATATTTTGGGTATGCTGAATCCAAAAATGCAAGGGTCCATTTTTTTCAATATCGTCTTGGCCGCCATATTGGAATTTCCAAATGGTTGCCATTTTAACCATAAAAATTACCATAACTCTACTATTAAAGCAGATATTGACTTAATTTCAAGTGTTAACCCTATGTTTTCAATGTCAACCTATTTGATTTTAATATTGTCATAGACCATGGCGGCCATTTTGAATTTCAAGATGGCCGACCGTTTTCAACAAAATCTTCCTGGAAAACATTTATTTCAATTATCATGGTGCTTACAACAATATAAATTACTGTGCATGCCTCAACCGGTGGAAGCGGGGGGAGGGGCAGAGGGGCCATTAGCCCACCCACTTTTTCTACTGGGGGGGGGGCCTGGCTCCCCACTTTTGTGACTGTTACCAGCACCAGTGACAAACATTTTACGAACGCTGCAATGTCATTATTATTATTATTATTATTATTATTATTATTATTATTATTATTATTATTGTTATTATAATTATTATTATTATTATTGTTATTTCGTGCTTACACCTTCTTTATTTGCGCCTTATAAATTGACCTATTACTATTATTATTATTATTATTAAATTATTATAAAATATAGATTTTTTTTTCATTTTTTAACGAACACTACAAGTTCTTTTTTTAATTGAGCAACCAAATGTCGATTAACGTCTGTATAAGTGCGTCTGTAAAGTTTCCTTGAAACCCACCCTCGAGCATGCAGAAAAAATCGCCTGCATTCGTGAATTCTGTATTTAGGCATATGGGGGAGGTAGGCACTCTTAATAAAGCGACGTTCTAGTTCTCTTTATGCTGACCACGAAGATGTATAGTAAGTGTAACTGATTGGCTTGTAGTAAACCTTAAAACTAGCATAATATAACCAAATTTAAACTCTAATTTAACGAAAACAATAAGATACTTATTAAGCCACTTTTTTAAATAAAGTTGAATGAAGGTTAAGTACCAATACAGAATTTACAGTACGGTACACTGTAGTTAATGTGTTATAGGTTGTAAAAACTGTACTGAGTAAAAAGAAAATATTTTGAATAAAAAAATCTTTTGCTTGAAATTAGGAATCAATCATTTTGTGAAACAAAATGGTAGGCTATGTCAAGTGTTATATTCAACAGTGGCAATTTCAATGGGAAACCCAGTTAGCACTGGACCCATCCCATTTTTTTTTTCAAAATTATCCAAAAAAAAATGGAGAAAACAGACAAAATTGTATTTAACTTTTAATCTGAGAGTGCCATTTCCGGCGATCTAGATGTGCCATAATCATAATTTTCCAACAGTTGTGGGGCTGAGGCTGGTGGACATTTTATTTACGCAAGACTCTATTTCGACTTCCTGGAACCGCCACAGTTGGAGTATCCTTTCTGAGCTACATACAAGGGTATAATTTTTATCCATCGAGGGAAAAGTGAAGCAAGGATAACCCTCATAATAAATAATTTATTGAGGGTGTGGAAGCAATGTCGACTTCGACTTTGTTCGGAAATCTGTGGCGCATTCAAGGGGAGGGGGAGGCTAAATTATATTCAAATTTTAAGTCTAAGAGTATAATTTCCGGCCATCTAGAGGTGCCATAATCACAAATGTTCTTACCTCAGCCCAAACCATGACGGGGCTGAGGTGGTATAGATTCTCGGTTTCAAGGGGACCCAGCCGGCCCGCCCCCACCCTCCTAAATTGTTCAATAAAAAATGGCGATATAAAGATAATTATATTCAAATTTTATGTCTGGAAGTGCAATTTCTGGCCATCTAGAGGTGCCATAATCACAAATTCTCTTATCTCAGCCCCAACCATGGTAGGGCTGAGGTAGTATAGATCTTCTATCTATGAAATTACCCTCCCTGGGCCCTTCTATTTCGAATTCCTAGATCCGCCACTGGAAATAAAACACATATGAAATCATATTACAGTAGCTTGAGGCCTATAAAATTCACCAAACTTCGTAAAATATCCGTAGCTTCGAGGGACTTTCGCCCCCTGGACCCCCACCGAGGGCCCTTGGTGGTCCCAGCCTAGATGCTCGCTTCGTTCGCATACTCGGCCTTATGAAATGCCCCCTCCCCTCACTTTCAAAAACGTTCCGCCGCCGTTGGTTTTTCCCTTCTGTTATACAATAATGATACTCTTTTACTACACTTCCCTCATTCCTTGTTTGTATACTTTAATCGGCGCCGTTCTCTTTGCAGTTCACAGTAGTGCAGCCACATAAGGTATATCCTGAGGTGGAACATACTCTGCCTAACAGGGTGCCTGTGTGTACCCAGTAACAAAGACGCTGTTTCTACATTGGTGGTGGTTAAACTCATCCTGGACGCCTAATTGTGTGCTCTATAAGCTTAAGTATCATGCATATATTTATATATTTTAAACTTACCCCTCAAGGATAAATGAAATCACCCATACATGCCCTGTGTGTATTATCGGGTATACTGTACAGGCAAGTTTAAGTCACATGTATATGTATTTGTGTATATTTTATAGTTCATTTGTTGATATATCGCCTTTCTGTAAGGTTTGTGATTTATTCCTGAATTAATTTATATTTATTTATTTTAAACGTACCCCTTGAGCACAAAATGGATTCGCCCATAAACGCCCTGTGTGTAATTGGCTATGTAGGCACAGGGTTAAGGCATGCACTGTAATTTATATTGTTGTAAAAACCACAATTGAAATACCTGTTTTCCAGAAAGATTTTGTTGAAAAACTGTCGGCCATCTTGAAATTCAAAGTGGCCGCCATCTATGGTCTATGACAATATTAAAATCAAATAGGTTGACATTGAAAACATAGGGTTTGCACTTGAAATTATGTCAATATCTGCTTTAATAGTAGAGTTATAGTCATTTTTATTGTTAAAATGGCAGCCATTTTGACATTTTGAAATTCCAATATGGCGGCCAAGACGTTATCGAAAAAATTGGACCCTTGTATTTTTGGATTCAGCATACCCAAAATATCCGGAAAATGCAATAAAATTGCTTTGGGCAAGCCTATCTCGCGAAATGACACTAGGGATATTTGCATTAATATTTTTTTGAAGGGTGGTACCAATATTTTAGGCATGGCGTATAATTTGCCTTTTTAATATTTTTATTTAAATTATGTTGTTTCTGTGAGTATCCTACATGAAAATATATTTTTATCTGCCATTAAAGATCCTAGTTAATCGTTTTTCATATTAATAATTTATTTACATATATTCTTGTTATAATAATGATTTACTATAATATTGTTTAACATTTACGGAAATAAATGTTGTTTAATGAATGAATGATTATTCAAATCCACTTGCACTTGACAACAACAACTAGGCATCAGTTATTATTTTTAATGGTATCTACCACATATTTCTTCTTCAATTATATACAGATACTAAATAAAAGCTCCATTGTACAAGTATATTTATTCAGTTTGTTTTCAACGTAGTACTATCAGATTGTTTTGAAAGCTTAATTCAGTCACTATAACAATATTCGAATTTCACAAATTTCGACTTCTGGAGGAATTCAAAATCCACCCACTCCTGTGTTGGAACCCATTGGTGGTGGTTAAACTCATCCTGGACGCCTAATTGTGTGCTCTATAAGCTTAAGTATCATGCATATATTTATATATTTTAAACTTACCCCTCAAGGATAAATGGAATTTTTTTAGATATGATCAAATGCTAAAGTTAAAAATACAGTAAAACCTAGAATGGAAGACCTGGGCTTCTTCTTTAGGACCCCCTTAGACTTGGATGGGTTTCTTTTCCAAGACTACTTTGCAAACCAAAGAGGGGGTTTTTTTCGGGTAAATACTTGGAATTGCTTCTATAAAACTGTATCTAGACAACCGAATTCAAAATTCTGAATTTTTTTTTAGATATGGCCGCTTGCCTTATAATAATAAATGAAATCTGAATTTGTGATTATTTTTTTATTGAATGATTTTTTTATACAATACAATAATATGCAACATACTGTATTACCATTTTTACTGGAAGGCACCAATATTCTTTATTTTCTCAAAAAAAAACCACAGCATTCTCTTGGAACATCTTAATATCAACGAAAATCTAACATCCACAAAATGAAGAATATTATCAACTCCAATCATCCTCAACAGAAGACTATAAACACATGTTCCCTCTGGATATCTGACCACCTTTGCTTTCAGAAAAGTGTAGCACTGTTCGCAATTGGATATATTTATGCAGTAGGTTTCTAAGTTACAAACAATCACCGATGAGAACTAGTAGTGGTCACATGCAATTTAGTTGGTGCAGTGTAACCACATTATCAGTGCAGGGGTGGCACCCCCCAAAGAGCACTTCTCCAGGTCAGGAAGAAAAAAAAATTATATGTATTTTTGACATACAGTATTTAGTAGAATCAATTAACCCATAAGTTTTCACTTTGTCCCCCACTAAAACCACTTTCGGGACATTTTGAGCAATGCCCAACCATGACCACACGTTCTTGTCAGAGAAATCGCACTCCACCCCCATTGGGCTTCAGCTCCCTTGGAGCAGATTCTATTATAAGCAGTCTTTAGACGGTCTTAACAGTTAGCCAGCTTTAATCTTGACGTCACTACTCGTCCATGATTATAGACCATTGCTATACCGCAGTCTAACCAGTTAGCAGTCTTAAATTTTGAAACCTACTTGGAAGAGGCTTAAGATCGTCAAAGAATAAGAATCGACCGACAAATATATCTCAAGCTTCTCAGCGTCTGTAAAAACCGGTCTAGGCTTATTTACATTCATTTTAATAAATATTCATGTTTTGAGCAGGCTTAACAGCACCCTCAATTTTATGTTATCAGGGAGTGCTTATTTGCATTAAAGCAGTCTAAGCGAAGACCGTTTTATAGCAATGGTCTTGGCCAAAGGTGGGCACAAAATTCAGTTGGCTGGGCCAAAGTGAATGTTTGATTTAACACCGAGGGCCACACCCAAACTTTGATGTTTCTAATGAGCTTCCAAAAACCTCCAAGCACTGCTTTTACACCACTTTATTCTCAGTTCTTATGTTACTTTTTACATATGATTGGTGTCGGGCTGTAAAAAACGTGGTTTTTTTCTAGTCAATGTTGCTTGGCAGGCCACACATATAGGGCTTTTAATTCATTTTCGCGGGCCGCAAAAAAATTGTCGGGTTGCACTTTGCCAACTGTGGTCTTAGCAGAGTGACTTTAGTAAGATTGTTTAAAGCAACTCTCACACTTTCACAACCTATATGCACTGCGATCAGTACATGACCGACCAGTGTTACAGCTGCTATGAGCAACTTGCCTGTGTAGAAGAGATAGTCGTCGATTTTTCAACATGTTGAAAAAAATATAGTGGTCGGTACTGGTCGCCAGGTCCTACTTCTGGTCAGATACGACCATAGGTCGGTACGTCACATTTTTAGGTCGCGATAATGTGAGACAGGCTTACATGTTAAAGCCGGCATTATTCAAATAGTTAAGACTACCAGTGAGGACCATTTTATAGCAATCCACCCCTGGATGCCTGCAGTAATTGCATAGGGGGGAAAAGTTATTAATAAAAAGTAAAGGACAAAAGTTATCTGCAAATCAAGATGCCAAACACTGAATAAGCTCAAGGTACAACAATTACAGTATATCCAATATACAGTACAGTAATATAGTTTAAAACCATTAAATTACATTAACTTCAAATGCTAGAGTTAATGGCTTACATGTATTATCATTATGAATACAGTAAAACCTTGAATGGAAGCCCTGGGCTTCTTTAGGACCCCTTAGGCTTGGATGGGTTTCTTTTCCAAGATTACTTTTGCAAACCAAAGAGGGGATGTTTTTTCAGGTAAATACTTGTAATTGCTCCTATAAACTGTATCTAAGCAACCAAATTCAAAATTCTGAATGATTAATATTTTATTTTTTTTCAATTAGGCCTAGGCCTATAGGATGATATGATGATCAAAAGAGGCAATGTGTAGGCCAACTAAATAAATACATATCAAGGTACCTATGCATAATTTACTGAACTCGTGTCCTTTTGCAAGTACAGTACTTTTGCAAACTAAAGAGGGGGACTCGGGGGAGAGCATTTCTGAAGAATGTTAAGTACATTGGGATTCTATTCAAGGTATTACCATACAGTACATATACCACTGGTATATGTACTGTATTACCATACAGTACATATACCACTGGTAAAAACTGTAATGAAATTATTTTAGCGACAGTGTAGCAAATTTATGGAAACCAGTCTGTTGAGTTCTTAAAAAAATTACTTGTGAAGTGGTTTCCAAAGAGGCTTTCCTTTTAAAATTTCCTTTGTTTTTTTCACACCATTATCTGCCCACCAGTCAATACCATGCCCACTTCTTTTATGTGTCTTCAAGCTGACTTTATGATTAAAAGACTTTGAACAAATATCACATTCGTACGGCTTCTTCCCTGTGTGGACTCGCATATGTGAATTCAGATTGCTTCTCTGTGCAAACCTCTTTTTGCACACAGAACACTCAAAACGCTTGACCTTGGCATGAGTCTCGAGGTGAACCTTAAGTCGGTAACTTGAGAACAATTTCCCACATGTCTCGCATGGATACTTTTTATGTACTCTTCTAATGTGTTCATTGAGTCTTCTCCGAGACAAAAAAGTTCCTTCACATTCTTTACAAGGAACGGTCTTTCCCAACATTTCGTTGGCGTGTACTTCCATGTGTGCGGCCAATTTCTCTTTTCGTGTGAATTCTTTGGAACAGTCATTACATTGATAAGGATATTGTCCACTGCCATGTATTGCCATGTGAATATCAGCTCTAGATACTGAATTAAACTTTCTTTGACATTGTTTACATTGAAATGGCTTATGCTTTGCCCCATGTGCTTTGTTTTCATGAACTTGTAGTTTCATTTCAATACTAAAACTTTCTTGACATATTTGGCACACAAAAGATATCCCAGCTTTATCATTTTCATGCATTAACATATGATATTCATAAATGGTTTCTCCAAACAAGGACTCGTTGCACTCAGCACAACTCTTTTCGTTTTTTAATACAAATTTCTCTGAATACACAATTTTTCCTTTGCTGTTGATCCAACCAATTGTGTATCTAAACTTCTTTTTCCTTTCTGTCAAACTATTTTTCGATTTTTCAACAGAGATTTTATCTTCATCATCTTCTGATATGCAAGCACAATCAGATTCATGCTTTTTAAGGTCCGCAGAATTTGGAAACGCTTCATCACAGTTATTGCAACTGTACTCGGGAACATCAGCTTCAGAGTTACTGTCTGAAAGTTCAAAATCACTATCCTTGTTGTTACATTTAGCAGCATGCTTTGTATATTTTGCTAAATCATAAAAAATCTTTCCACAATGGCATTCATAATCTATTTCTTCTTCAATTTCATCATCTGTGCTCTCCTCTTCTGTCTCAATCTCTTCCTCCTCTGTCTCAATCTCTTCCTCCTCCACTTCTTTGCACATTTCTTCCTCTGTAACTTCTGTAGTTGTACTGTGGAAAAGAAAGAAAAACACATTTCATAAGGTTTTGCCAAAACATTTGTTCTTAATCCCAAATTTGAAGGATTTGGCTACTCCCATAACCCAGAGTATACCCCAGTAGGGCTAGAAACAAAATTTGAAAAAAAAAACATGCAAAATTATAATTGTTGGTGGCACTATAACATTATATACCTAAATTTCATTGCACTTGTGCTAGCTGATTTTGCAATATTTTGTATGTTCAGTGTTTAGATCAGATGTTGAAATACATACCAGCTAGATGTTTTGTCGAAAAATCTTGGCAATTCTTGACCATGTGGTTTCTGATGCAAAGTTTGTTTATCTTCAAGAGTTTCTTTCTTGATCTCTGTACCTTGGAAGCTAAACACTCCTGCATTCATGTTGATGTTTTCAAAAGAGCTATAGTCTTTCTGACAAGAAATATTCTCTGAAGCCAGTGTGCTAGCATTAACATTAGAAAGGTTTTTTTTTATCCCAACAAAACTTTGTCCATTGCTGATTTCTTTGCAAATCTGTTTAATAGTTTTGAATCTACTCTGATCTGCATCTTTATTGGCAGTTGTTTCTTTTTGAACAATGTTCAACCTATTCTGATCTGGATTCTTATTGGCTGTTGATTCTTTAAAAACAGTCTTTGCAATTTTGATTTCATTAACAGTTTTCCCAAAACCAGAACTTAAGTAGTAAAGCTTTCCATCAATAAGAATGGGAACAAGTTGATCTGATTGTACAGGTTGTGGCATACAGTGAGCAGAAATGTTCAATACTGCAACATTTAGAGTATGCTGGGCTGTTGGTTTTGGTGGGCTAGCATTAGTTAGGTGCATGTTCCTTTGCTGGTTGCTATTGTTGTTTGATTGTTGAATTACTGGAGTGGTACTATCAGTCGAGACAGCAGCACAGTCAGCAGCACAATCAGCAGCACAGTCAGCAGTATTTACTGAAGATACATTGTTGCATGGAATTTGTACGAAATTCTTGGTGGTAGCATAATGGACACTTTTAATCAAATCACAATCGTTGCTTGTTGTCTCATTTCCTGTAGTACGTAAATTAGTTGTGCAGACACTACTTTTTACTACTTTGTCAACAGCCTTCATTTCCATTTGAACTGCCCCAGTTTCCAAAGATGCCTTTGGGGATGTAAAGCTTCCAAAGTCTACTTCGTTGCTCGCCTTCTGAATTGCGATGGGGTATGCAGCCATGGGGGCAGCATTCACTGTTTTATGTGTCTCTGTGTTTTTAGCAGCCTCTTTCTTTTTATATCTATCATAGGAAACCACTGCAGCATTGGTATCAATTATTTTCTGAATTCTCTGCAAAAAAAACACCCAATAGTATTGGCATATATGTGTATATATAGATCAATCAATCAACCACATACAATGATGTGTTAAGCTTAGCCATTTTTGGTATTGTCACTATTGTTTTAATAATATTGTATTTTGTTTCTTTTGTTTTTAAGAATAATTTATACAGAATATTTATAGCGGTAGAAGACATTTACTGTGTTTATTCAAATAAATAAATATCCACCCCTGCAAGGAATACAGGCTTATTTTTTCCCTCATAAATGCCTCCAATAGACTTGTGAACAAAACTAGTGGATTGGAAGCAACATCATTTTCATTCTTAATGCCATTCTATCACCATATGCTTAATCATGTGCAGTTTAAACTACAAAGTGTTATTGCAAAGTTATTAGTACTGTATATCAGTAAAGAAATTGCACCTCTTGTATTTGCATTCTCTGCTCATTTGTAAGGTGACATTTTTTCTTCTGTGATTTCAAACGCTTGGGTTTGCTTGTCTCTTGTGTTTTCTTTACTTGATCTTTTTTACGTTGTTTTTTTTCCTTTCGAGATTTTGAACGCTTGCGGCCCATCTTGCTTGTTTCTTGAAATAGATCACTCTCACAAATGACAATGAATAGATTGAAGTTGTAGATGCTAGAAAAAAAAACCCAAAGCAAAATATAGTTCTCACAAATAACTTCATAAAGTAGTGAATGAAAATGACTTGTAATATTGTAAAGCTGGAATATCTAGCCAGGCATTACATGCTGACAAGCTATACTGTAAGGTTTGTTAACTGTGCAGATGATACTTCAAAAATTTGCTCAAATTTGCATGGAAAATAAGTGTTTTGGTTTTTCATTTAGCAAATAGTTTTGCCAAAAACATCCGGACAGATGAGAAAATAAACATAAAAATTAATTGGTAAATGTAAACGGTGTAGTAGTAATGGGATGTTTAAATGCTTTAAATTTTTATAATTAGGAAGAAATATACATATCTTATTGGAGATTTCAAGGCAGTGACTTTTTGTTTTTATAAAATTTCCATTAATCGTTGCGGAGGGTACGTTAATTAAATAAAAAAAATTATATTTTTTTTCAAAATAACCATTGTTGCAAATATTGACAGACGGCAAGTTCACTAAACAAGGTATAACTAAAGTCTTGCCTTACTAGGCCTCCTAGGCCTATACTACTATGATAAATGATAAAAGAGATTGTGGTGAAGTGTGTGTGGGACCATGGAGGTATTATTGTGGAGATCACTCGAAAAAACATATACGCACGCAGCACTATGCAAATGGACCAAGAATAAAGCTGCCGCAGCGCGTGAAGAGCGTTTGTGCGATGCCTTTGAAGTCTAATGTGTTCCAATCAGGGGAACATTGTTCATATAATGGGTTAAAATCTAACGCTTTATCGCACAACTAATAATGACAATGTGCTGAAGCGTATAAACGCATGTTGTTGCCAAACCAAGTTTTTGCTAATGAAAAAATGTGAATTATAGGGTAATACGCCCGCGCGCGGTCCAAAGGCGGGGAACACATTGGTTTGTCGCGTCAAAGGGATCTGTTGCCGAGTGATCTCCTTCTCAATAAACCTCCATGGTGGGACACAGTCAATAGCTGCCATGGAAAAAAATTGCATTCATTTACAGTAGAAGTACTAAAAACTAATTACTATATTAGGCCTAGCCTAGGATAGAATGACAATAACCAGCCTACTATAATAGGCCTAGCCTAGGCCTTCTAGGCATAGGCCTAGGCCTACTAGAGAAAGAAATAGCCTAGCCTAGGCCTAAGCTAGGCTAGCCTAGGCCCAGGGTAGGGCTTAGGCCTAGTTTATAAGCAGGGAGTTGTTAAGTTATTTAGAACAAATCCCGTAAGTACTGTCTAAGCCTAGCCTAGTAGGCATAAGATGATAGGATTACCCCGACTTAGTCTACCCAGGGAGGTGGACTAGCCTTGCCTACCTACTATGGTTACACGAGACGTACCGTAGTTACAGCGTAACGGGACAAACACACACGCCAAGAAAGTAGGACTATGATTATGAACTGGGAACTGGCGCGAACGAAACGGTCAATAATACGACTCTCACATACGTACGAGCAGACGAATGGACGAATCCAATCACGTCGGATGGTTTTCCGAACATAGGGGACGCTTGTCAACAATTTTGAATAATTTTGAAGCGCCATAGGGACTTAGACATTGACTAACTTCATTCATGGTTCTAATTATTTTAAACATCATATATTTTTAGATGATCTTTCTGATATAGATGAAAGTTTTATTTACCGAACCTTTTGTTCTGTAATGATTTTCGTAGTTGTTTTTCTTCTTTTCAATTTTCTGTTGATCTTGGTCGTTTGCAGCGTGACACTGCTTGGGTATCAAAGATACTAGAAATACAAGATAGAGTTCTCCACACAAAAAAAGTGTTCCACCGTATTCCACCGAAATGCATGGTGGGAATACGAAAAATGGGACGCCCCCTACAGCTGGATCTAAAAAAACTTCTACCAAACTTTCGTTACCAAGTCGTCGCGTATTTTATTATCAATTCTCAACAAAGATACTAGATATAAAAACAAACTGGAATAGACACCCAGACAGTGACATCGGTGAATACATAACCTCCTTGGTGGCGGTAGAAATCGTTGCTATTATCCAAATAATACACAAAACAATTAAAGCATAATCATGAATCAGTAAATAATAAAACAACAATACAGTGCACAATCGCATGGCCGGACGCACTCTTAGTGATAAAGTTTTCCTCCATTAGTGGAAAAGGAAGGGCGCCTTTTGCGTCTGGATATACTTAGCAACAGAAGGGCGCCCTGTACGTTGGGCACGAAATATAGGAAACTTGCATGGTTAAAAAGAAGGGCGCCGCCTACGTTGGGCACGACTTCCGCCTCATTTTACAATACGAGAACTCTATCTTGTATTTCTAGTATCTTTGTTGGGTATTTACCAACGATCTTATAAACACAAGATAGCGTTCTCCGCGATTTACGCGTGCAAATTCTGTAATAAGGCATGAACGGCGCCCTCTTGCTAAATTGGAAACTTTTGACCCTTGACCGCTCTGACCATACTGTACACCGCGCGACTTTACCTTGGGTATCAATCCTGCCTGTAAACAGCAGAACAGGAACCATCTCAGATCCATGGCAACAGATAGGACGCCCTCTTCCAAAACTGATTACTTTTTCTCTTTGGTATAATGGCGCATGAATGGCGGCCTCTTGCTAAATTGGAAACTTTTGAACCTTGACCGATGCTTCTATTTGTTACGCGTAAATCGCGGAGAACGCTATCTTGTGTTTATAAGATCTTTGGTATTTACCCAAGATCTTGGGTATTTTGACTTGGTCTTTGGTTCTTGGGTATTCCGTTCAAATCCTTGGGTATTTTATATTTTTGTCATAGAGGAAGAATTAAGAAGTAACAAAGTATATTTCAGTCCATTCAAGTAAGCAAACCTCAACAAAGTGCACATAACATTGTTAATTGACTGTTAATTGCTATAAACACGGGTTCAGAATTGTTTATTTGTGATTTGCGTTGCCATTGATGCACCGGGAATTTTCATAGTAGGCACTTAACGCAAAAGGACGGCGAGCCGTCGAGAACGGAAATTTGGGTTAAGCGCCTGATTTTTTACAGTGGTCTTCACGCTCTGATGAGCACAAAATAACCGTCCACCCGTCTTCCCGTCCTGTTGCGTAAAGTGCCTAGTAACTAGAGGGAAAGTACCTTGTGCCTATGTTGTTTTTTTTTCGTTGCACGCATGTAATAAAAGAACGCACCCAATTATCTATATCCCGACATCCGCTTCCAAAAATATCTGACGAATTCCATCATACGTACGTATAACATTGGTTTATAATACTAAATCAACAAATACGTATTTTTCAAATTTTAATGCATTTTCAGGAAGCTTGGGTAATTTTGGGCAATTTTTGCTGAATCTTGGGTAATTTCGACCCGTCATTGGGTATATCAAAAATTGTGAGTGGTCACGCTGGTCGTTTGGATGCACCATCAGTTTGAATGTGTGCCACTGTAATAAAAGTGATTCCAAATAAAAACTAAAAACTAGAGAACTGGATTGGATTGCTATGGTATTATGGTATGGCCTGGGCCGCTACTAAATTTTTCTAATTTTTTTTTTTTTTTTTAATGTAGAAAAAAAATAAAATTATAAGTAAATTTAAGGCTCAGAGAATGCCATTGCCGGCCATCTAGAGATGCTATAATGATAAATTTTCTTTTCTCAACCCCAACCATTTATTTATTCATTCATTTATTCAACTATATCTTAAGTGGGTAGCCCTTTCAGCATGGCTGATATGAAGGGCCCACTTTAGAAAAAATCAACGAAAAAACAGTATAAAAGTAACGGAAAAACACAGAAAGAAATCATGGTAGGGTTGATGTGGGTGGACCTTCTATCTGTGGAGTGGCGTAACGTCTATTAGCACTCACTGCCTTAATCCAGGGCCCCAGCAAATTCAAACTTTTTTTTTTGACAAACGAATAACCACGCGGGTAGGGGTCGGGGGCACTGCGGATCGCCGTGAGAGCGCAAACGCCACTGTTAGACCTACATCTTTTTTTTTTTTATAAAGGCCCTATTCTGTGGTTATTTATTGTAATATGCTTATTAGTGATATCTTAGTTAAGCATGATTTTTTGGGTCAAATCATTCACGATACATAAATTTAGAACTCAAATGTGTAAAAAAGGCATTAAAATATGTCATAGAACGCTAAAAACGCCAGAGCGGCCAGGGGTCCTTCGCGGCCCCGGCACCAGCGTCTGGGAGCCCCTTCGTTACGCCACTGTGGAAGTCTCTCCCTGGCCCCTTTCTATTTCAAATTCCTTGATCCGCCACTGTGTTGTGTACCATTGGCATGTGTATTACAGGGCCGGCGGAACGTTTTTCAAAATAGAGGGGGGGGGGGGGGACGTTGGGCACACTAGTAAGATGAATAGGAATATGAATCAGGGGATTTGGCTTCAAATTTAGGGGGTGGGGTCAAAATTGTTTCCAAAAACCCCAGAAAGGAAGGGGGTCCAGGGGGACTCCCCCGGAAGATTTTGATTCTTAGATGGCGGGAAATGAGCTTTCCCGACTTTTGAGCTACTTTAGGTGTCTTTTAATGAATTTAAAATTAAAATTCAAGGTTTTCCCCCTCTTGAAAATGGTTAGGTAAACTTTCACATTCTTATTACAGTAAAAAGGCCTGTTATGTGTGTATACATACATTCAAAAAATTAAGTAGTTGCATGTGTATTCTTTTTTCCGTGAATAGATAAACCCAACTTTTTTCCAGGGGAGGGGGATCAGGGAGGGGGTCAGGAGTTATACACATCTAGATGTGTATACAGGACCCTGATTCCACCCCCCCCCCACCCAGATCCGGCAATGTGAATTGAGGGAAAATGTAACTTGGTTGGGGACTGGATAAACTCTTTGTTTCCCCTCCCTCTCCTCCTTCTTCCCTCTTTCTTGCATTTTTTCCGATCATACAAAAATCTCCATAGACACTATATATTTTCTGCTAAAAAGTGGGGGAGGGGGACGAGGCACCCCCACCCCCCCCCCCCCGGGGCACCCCACCCTCCCTCCCCGTTCCGCCGGCCTTGCGCCATTACAATTTAATTTTCTATAAACATATTAGTTGTGACATTATAGGTAGGCATACGGTAGTTAATGACGTTATTGATAAATATGCCAACTAAGTGCCGATAATAAACCACCCAATAAAAATCCTGCGTAGCTACAGGTCTACCGTCTCCCAAGACGCTTGGCAATATGTTTGTTCATAAAGCTGCATCCAGTTATCTTGAAGTACCGGTAGGAAATTGATGGCCGTAAATCCTATCGTTACAGAAACTGAAAATAAATACTGTACAATATTCCGATATTATAGGGGGCCAGAATTCCTGTGGCACCGGAGGATTGTCAAAGCTTTAAGCCCGGTAATGGCGGTTATGTAGAGAGTTCCGGTATCCCCTGGTTATGGCTAGGATGAGAACAGGATAGGGCGCAAAGAATGACCCCCTCAGACTCGCGCTCTCCTTCTCTTTTAATAATAGGAATTATAATCATTTAACAACGGTTGATTTCGGATGTTTCTAGGCCATATCGATTAGGACATGTGCGCTTTGATCTCAAATTAATAGATCTAGGCTTTCATTAAAATCTCAGCGAATTGGTTAAATTGCCTGACAAGACTTCACAATGGAAATTACTGTATATCTTATTGATGATTTAGATCGAGTTCGTTCATATCGAATAAAAACAACACGTGATCAGTTCTGCTCCGATCCACGGTACCGTACCCACGCTCGAGTTAAGTACTATTTCACAGTTGTGTAATCATGTAAGGTGGTAATGTATCGATCCGATCAGGTAAGCAGGCGGATATTGAGAACATCTTATTATTCTCAACGTAGGTCTAGTGACAAAGGACAGTAATATCATAGGGTCTCTTTCCCTCTCACCGATTCAAAATAACTGAAAATGCGACGGAATTCCGGCAGTTCGTTTAGCGATCTGAACATTTTGTTTCGGTCGGCGAAAAACAGTGCGGTTCACAGCCCCGGGAGGCGATCGTCGGCGTTGCCGGTTCTGCAACAGTCGGAGTTTGCGACGACAAAGACGCAGAAATTGCTTGGACTATGTAATGACGAGTGGGATAGGTATGTTATTCTCATTTTACCTTTGTCATTCTCTTTGAAAATTCCTTATAATATATATAGTTGTACATTTATATACCACCGAACTCAGTGGACTTTACCCTTTATGGGTTGCACCTCCAGATAAGGTAGGATCACCGTGGACCTAAATAAAGCATGTATCACGAGGGGTTGGCCTATCTTTGCATATTAGAAATATGTCTACTATTTTGGTCGTCACTGTGCAGGTGCAGGCAGGTAAGATAATGTTATATTGCGATATTGATGATAGTAGGGAAGATTACACACCTCAATTAAGGAAAAGGGTAAAATGGGGCAGCATGTTCAATAAGTCAGACAATATTTTGTTCCACCCGATCCAAAGTGAAACATACGACTATCTCAATTAATTCCAATGTTTTTATCACTTTATTTGTTGCTAAGGTCACCATAATGATAGAAGCAACAGATAGATTACTTTCGCTTTCGAAGATAATAATATGTAATTGTATTTCTGTTGGGACCATCGTTGATTGAATAGTAAGTCCTATTTATTTGGATTCAGGAGTATTAGTGACGGAGTACTACGTTTTAGATCTAATCAGAAGAAATTCACATTGGGACTGGGATCATCATCGTCTCACGGTCTTACATGAAAATTACGCATTATTCTCTCACCGCGCTAGGTTCCACAAAACGACGGCATAACGTACCGGTGCCTGTAAACACATGTGTTTGTGGGACAACCAGGGGCGTATCTTGGGGGGGGGGGGCGCATCCCCCATTCCCCAGGTCCCCCAAATTCCCCTAAAATCAAGCGAAAGTAGTTAAAAATCACCTCAAATCTCCTTATTTTGCGAGCTAGCACCTCCTCACCTGTCATCGATCTCCCGAACTTACACCCCCACCCCATTTCCCGACTCTTAGATGCGTCACTGTGGACAATAATAACGTATTAAGTTGATAGACACTCCGAAATTGTCCACTGGAAGTCAGGCATCCACCAAGATACAGCTTCACGTGTAAGTTAGTTAATCACAAGATGGAGCGTCCAATATGTTTACGTATCTGGTTTTTCCAACGTATGTTGGATAATGTACTCTCAATTAAGCGTCGTGACGGCCAATTTAATATGAAATTTTACTTAAATGGTCAGTATTATAGAGGCTGTTCAACAGCGGCGCTAGCAAAACAAAATCACGTTAGAGTCCATTTTCGACAGCACCGCTTATTCATTAATTTAGGTGGGCCTATTCTTTAATTCTTCTGAGGCTTATTGTTTTACAAATGTAGGCCTATTACATTTTTCAGTAAAATAAAACCACAATATTTTTTTCAGAGTTCAACGAGTTGTTGTATCGATTTTCGAAGGAAAGAAACTAGGTCAAGGACAGTTAGAGGAACAGATTAATCTCATTCGGTAATCGCCAGATTTACTCTGTGGCATGTTTTTACCTTATTATTACCATTATCATTAAAAAAGACAAATATGGTTTATTTATTTTGAAATAGTACGGTAGGCCTACTTTACATGTAAAGTTTCAAATCACATTTTAGCCAAGTCAATAGAACCAATAGGGAAATAATCATGTAGAATTAATTCAATGTGTATTCTCATTATGTTTGCAAGACGTAACCTGTGCTGTCACAGATTCAAATCCTGATTAGTCAGTTAAATCAGGGGCGTTCCCTATTGCGTCGGGGACAGCTACGCGGTGGTGCAAGGATGCAGTGAAAACGCTGTAGCGACTGTGTCTAGCGATTATATGGAAACCAAATTTAACAACCCCACTCCCAAGTTCATAATGAGACTACATTCACGTGGACGCAAGCCATACGGGGGACGCATGCTAAAATTTTCCTAGCAGGGGACACATGTCAACTCAGGCCTACGTGGTATAAAAATGAACAGCCACGTAAAAACAATATTATCATTCCTGGGGACCGTAAACGTTAAAAGAGGTAAACGATGACTACTCGTGTTTTACGACCAGTCGAACAATAATGATCCTTAAGAGGATGGTGCTCATAGAAAAACTGAAGAGACAATAAGCCTGTTCTAAGGGCAGACGGTTATAATCACTGACTTGTGTTGGCCCATTTAGAACCCAAGACCACAAATTTGTACAAGCGTCGAATTAACCGATGTCATCCTGACAAAATCAATATACTTAAATAACTGTACAAATAAAACAAACATTGTGAAACACTATTACACGGCCGTCATGGGATTGGAAGAAATATTTGAATAATACTTAAATATTTTTTTTCAGGATCGTACTTAAATCGGAAATAAGGCAGTTCATTAGTGAATATTACAGGGTAATGTACACATTTATCATATATACTAATATTGTGTCGGTAAGGCCGCTTTATGCGAAATTATTGTGTCTAATTTCGTAGTTTCTTCCCTTTTAATAGAAAAACCTTTTGAAGAAATGTATGGCGATCCTGCTTACGGGTATCAACACTTCAAGTAGCGGTAGGTTTGGGTCATGAGGTTTGTCCTAAATTTTTAAAGCATGCTGAATGCAAATCATTAATATTAATGTAAGAAAAACATATTTTCATAAACATAGAAATATGAATAATTATTTAAGAATATTTAGAATAAAATTTAACAAAATAATCACCGAGACACGAGCCCGAAATGTCATGCCACTACTCACGACAATTGACATAGGCCTAATTATATTCATGGTCTAGACCCCGCTTCCCAAACTTTTTTCTAGCCGCTACCCATCTAATAAATTGATAGTTAATTGCACAGCGATTTTTGTAAGAACCATGAAATTTGATGCTCATGTTTTAAAAGTAACTACTCGACATTGGCATTACATCGATTTTTGCTTACTATTAATCAGTGGTGGATCGATCCAAGAATATATTCTTAGAGGTGCCAAGGGAGGGATTATTAGAGATAGAGGGCCTGCTTAACTCAGGCCGCGCCCCCATGGTTGGGGCTGAGGAAAGAACGTTAATGATTATGCATCTCTGATGGACAGAAATGGTACTCTCAGACCTAAATTTTCTTTTTTTCTTTTATATGTTTTCTAATTTAAAAAGGGGGGGGGGAGGGGGAAGCCGGCCCCTCCCCAAACATCGAACCCGCCATAATATCGTCCCTTTTCGTAACAGTGGGAAAATGAGACTTTTAATATTTTTGACTCCCACCTAAATGCGCCATGGATTGTCAACACACGTGGTTAAAATTTATGTCATTGTCAATGCATAGCCCATTTGTTACATTATTCATCAGTAATCAAGAAACGAATTTGAGCAAAGTAAATCCAGAATTTAGAACAATTTACACTTACAGGCCCGTACGTAAGGGAGGGGGGGGAGGGGCCCCCCCCCCCCCCCCCCTCAATTACCAATAGTCCACATTTTCCGGGGTCACAACGTTCAAGACACACTTCACACGTTCCAGAAATCCATCCACCAAAACTCCTTGAACAATCAGAGCAGTTTCCAACTAGGACTGCCTCAAATTCGTCGTACAAGCAAGGAATTTTAACTGTAGGCCTATTTATAAGCTTTTTGAGGAATTTGAGTGCTTTCCCCCGCCGCTTACATCTTCTCTCTTTCTAGAGGTTTCATTACTAGAATTATCTTCCATTAATTCCATTCACATCTAGGTTATGCGTTATGTCAAATTTGTAGGGAATTATTTTACTCCGACCTCGATTTATTTACGATTCTTTAAGTTTAATCATATTAATGAACGTTAACACGTTGACTGCCAGACCTTTTTTACGGTTCCTTCCCGTGTGCCAAAACAAGTTTACATGTACAAACATGCTTTTTTGAAATTTTATCTAGTCATATGTCATCAAAATGAAGTGTCTAATAAATTGGCGGGAAAATATTAGGGGGCAAGTATACTCGTCGACGGCACTGTGATAGAACTTTTTACTGACTATGCCAAGTGCGAGTTATCTCGTCCGCTTTTTGCATGGGTTGGTATATGTTCAAAGGGCGCCCCCACTTGTACCGCTCGAGTGTACTACCGGCAAAATAACACAACAGACATATATATGTCATCTGTACGTTATCGTCTAGGTGTATCTTCCCCGAACTACCAGCCGTTGAGTCTGTGGTTCTACAATGTATAATAAAGAAGTTATAAACGCTAGAATGTTTCCCCCGATTTGA